TATTGACTAAGGTTGATCGTCACGTATTTTCCAAGACTACGCCGGGCGCCTCTCCTTATCCATTCTCAGCCATGAATGAAAACAATTGAAGCTTGTTATCAATTTGTGACGGGGTACGATTATTATCGTTACACGAGCAGCAGATTCAACTTTGGTCCTCTCCCATTCAGAAAATGCCACATAAGCCGATGACCGATCGCCGCTGTTCGACGTGTGCGACTGTGCATGTATAACTCAGAGTGACAAAGACAGAAATCTATTTGTTCCTCATCCAGTTTGATAAAGTCTAATGAATAACATTTCTTTATTGATTATGACTTTACTGAGAAGAAAATCACTGCAATTTAAATTTAGCATATGCAGCAAAAAGTCCACTAGTGAAAACATTTTCCAGTTACAATGTCTTTATTTAATCTAGATTAGATTATATAGATTTGTGTGGCCAAAAAAACTCCAGAATGGTGGTGAATTTTACCAGGGCAGAGACAGGCGAAAAAGTTCATAGTAGAACATTTGCTAATATTCACGGCAGACCTGATATGCAAAGACAGAAAGACAGTTAAAGCTGTAGTGGGTCTACTAACAAGGCGTTGTAAGCTGAATAGACATATAAAGCTAATCGGATTGACGGACGAAGCCATGTGCAGGTTCTGTCAATCAATAACGGAAGACTGGAATAGCGCCAACATAATTCTAATTCATATGAAAAGCAACAAAGAAGACATCAGAAACTATAGACCAATAAGCCTACTACCCGTAATATACAAGATATATCACAATAATGATAATATATCACAATAATAATAAACAACATAATACAATGCACGTTAGGCGCTGCACAGCCAAACAAAAAGAATAAGAACTTCCAGTAGCCTTTATAGATTTTGAGAAGGCTTTCGACTCGATATATCCTAAGGCAATAATAGAAGCCCTAGCAAAACAAAGTATTGACAGGCCTTATATAGAAACTTTAGCCAATATATACAAAGAAGCCAAAGCAAGAGTAATGATATATAAAATAACCCCAAAAAAAATAAGTCCCCAACTGGCAAAGGAGTACGACATTGAGACGCAATATTCCCAAAGCTGCTTACAGTAACACGTAACACTAGAAGAAATCTTCCGTTAACTAGACTGGACTAACAATGGATTAAAAATAGATGGGAGAATATCTTAACCATCTAAAAATCGTTGATGACATAGTCCTAACTGAATTAACGAACTAAATACAGTACGTCTGTCCGTTCTGTAGCTACGGGGTATCCGTGAGAGGGGAAACGATATTATCTCGATGTTTATCGTAAAAAATTAGACGACGCGTCCCATCAATAAAAATTCGACAAATTTGCAAGTAGCCAATAAAATGAGTGGGCGGAGCGATTTGCTACGTACTCGTCAAGTCGACGTATAAAATGTATTGCTGTTTATTTAAATGTTTTTTGTCCGCGTTCCTTTCATAGACACAGATCCAGCAGACGTACTGTACAGGGTGGGTCAAATTCGACGCTTTTAAATGGAAACACCCTTTTCTATAGGAGATAGACAAAAACTAATATCGGTGTCTGGAGCTCAATTTTTGTCAAAAACATGATGGTAAAAACCGCATATCGATATCTGTTACCGTTTCGGAGTTACGGGGTGTTTTTAAAAAATATGCATTTTTAACAAATTGCTGTAACTTTTTTGCTATGGAAAATTTTGTATTTTTATGAAAACATTTCCAAAGCACCTTTTTACGTAGAATTTAATGGTTTAAGTATATATTTTTTTAAATTAATAATTTAAGAATTATCAACAGAAAATTTGATTTTTTATATGGAACACCCTGTATATTTTTAATTTATTGAAAAGAATACTGGACCCGGGATAACTTGTGCCCGCATAGCCAACAATAGACAACAATGGGCCCAACTACAAAGAGAGTATCTAAATATGTGAGGGAGGGTACATTATAATTGAAAATGGTTAAATAAGCTGAGAATGACGATGATGATGTCAATTTATCGAATTATAAAAATGCTTGCCATGCTTATGGAAAATAAAAGTACAATGATAGGGATAAAAAAGCATTTATTACAAAAGCAGTAATATATCGAGAAGCCATTTTCACTGAAAAAAAAATATGCTTAAAAACTATTAGCGGATGCGTCACTCAGTTCACTATAGAAAAAAAAGGTGCTATATAACTTCGTGTGTGCGTAGTGCAGTAAAACAATGAATCACGGAAAAGCAGAATGTCCACTGTACAAACAGACAGGGACACGGGCATAGCAAGGCCTTTATTCAAGGGCCTAATTCCAAAACCACAAAGGAATTGATAATGCTTAGCATGAATAAAGTGCGGACTATAACAGGTCTCTCGACAGGACATATCAAGTGTTATCTGAACAAGCCCAACCTATACCAAGGAAGCCTTTGCTGCAAACTAAAGATCCTGACACATATAATATGGCATTGCGAGGCTCGGGATCGCAATCGTCACTTTTTATTTGGCAAAGCAAACCTAACCAACTATGCTCCCATCCTATCAAGGATCTATACAAATTGGTGCAGATTACAGGAATAGGAGAGGAGTCCAGACATAGAAAGAGGACAAACACAATAGGCTTCACAGGTCTCAGTGTTTCCCGCACAAGATGGCCCTTTATCATTGAAAAAATATAACAAAACTTGCCATCTCAATTATCAAAAGATTCAAAAAGAAGCAAGTCCAAGTGACATGGTATAACTTTACATTTATATCTACTTTTATCAAAATCGATAAGATGCTAAATTTTAAGGTTTCTTAAACTTTGCAACATGTTTTGGACTGATGTTGAACATTGCGACTTTCTTTCAAATTAGCAAAAAATCAAACAGAACTTCTTAAACAAGAAAGAGCCTGAATCACTGAACATCCCAGATAACACGAAGTATTTTTTCAACTCTGAACATCCAAGATTCGTCTCACTGCGACGCGGTATCTTGTTTATTTCATTCTTAAAGAGACCTCACGACTGATAACGACTCGGCGGAGCAAAGGCGGAAGGTCGTAAAATTTTAAATAAATTCTTGGAAGTAAATGACTTTGAAGTCGCACACACACACAAACGCACGCACGTACACAACTCTCGAGGAACGTATCTCTTCTTCTTCTTCGGCCTGCCGCTCGAGATGTTTAAATAAGGCAGGCGGCGGGCGACCGCTCGCTAGTTTCAACTATAGAGTTAAGAATTTATACAGAGCTGGCATGCTTGAAGTTCTTGTTTCTGGTCGATGAAAGTTTTAACACAAAACACTTAAGTTGATAAAAATCTCTTTATTATTTCGTTGTTGGTCAACACAGAATGTATAGTCCTTCGTGCAAATATTCAACTTGAATGTAGTAGACAATGACTCAGTGTTGACATTAAAACAATTTTGGACCTCCAATGTCTTTATTTATATTAATTTACAGAACCTTTCTGTTTCGGTTTCATTTTTTTTTTCTTCTTTCTTGAATATGAAGACGGCGATTGGTTGCGAATTCGTAAAATTCAGTATTTACTAGGATTTATAGTTTGTTGACCTTTTTTATTTTTCAATGCACTAGAATTCTCGGCCAGAATTTGTCGAATTTCTTTGAATTTCTGAATTTGCATAGAGATCTACGTTCCAGTACCTTACATTACACGATCAAGACTGGTACTTGGTACTGGTTTCTCGGTCTTATTTATTTTTCAAGTACGATAATATTTATTTTTCAAGTACGATCCAATATAATATGAGATCCTACAGCTCATAATTCAGGAAAAAATTGTAGGAAAAAGATCTATTGGAAGGAGAAAAATATTTTGTCTTAGGAACCCAAGAAAATGGTTTAACACATCATCTGACTTATTTAGGGCCGCATCATCCAAAGTTAAAATAATTATGATGACAGTCAACCTCCGAAATGCACATGAAGAAGAATAAGACGATGCGAATAGATAGACGTGTGGCTGTCTGGAAACTGTCGTACTGTTGTTTCATTGCAAGAGGGTAAAATGTATTGACAACCACTGATTCACATCGGTTAGAACCAGATGAGATTGGATAGCTCGTAATTAGACACTTGCCAAGTCGATCTTTTACACTTGCCAAGTTAGTCGATTTAGACACTTGCCAAGTCGGTAGGCTATTGCCAATGATATGGCTAAGGACCGTGAATCAGATACCGCGTAAACAAAGTAGACTCCGTCTAGATTAGCCTTAGCAGTTCTTGGACTGATATTATGTTGTATTATTAAAATTTTACACAAAGTTTTGGTCAGGTTTGTTTCACTGACCGTTATCAAGTGTGGGCCATCTAAATCCTAAAACTACTGAGCTTAGCAGTGAAGGAGTTGGACGTAGTAGTCTAGCCTGAAACTCTCTAGACATTGGAGGTCGTCAGCGTGTGTAGGCTTATAAGTGGTTGCTATATTCTGGAAATTTCTATAGTTGGATCGTTGAAAATATTATTATTTAATATAATAACACCTTGAATTTTCGCTTTTTCACCGATGTTCTTTATGGACATGGTAGTTACACTTTTACTCTCGTTTTGATACTTCCGGTTTTATTTTTGCTAAGATGCTTTTTGCTAATTTCTTATTTGAAAGAAACATCAGGAAAGACTAAGCACATAACTGAAGAGTATAACATTAAGACTGCTTTTTAGTTTGGAACTACTCCAAAAAGCGTCTTAACAAAAACAAGATTGGTAACACCAAACACCAAGAGAAAGAGGGCATCTACCAGATATACTTTTTGAATGTCATTAGTCATATATTAGAGAGACATAACGTTCTCTAAATATAGTACACATTCAACTAATATCAAAAATTAACTTAGATAAATTTACTATTTACAGCACAAATAGAAACAAATGTATAAATTCCCCAAAAAACTTTTCTAAGAAACACACACTAAGATTAATAAAAAAATATATCAGACAGGTAAACTAAAACTTGTTTTTGTTAAGAGATATCTAAGAATAAAACTTTTACTGAAATACTCACTCAGTATTTGCTTCTGGAATAATATCGTCAACAACTACATAGATCATGGCTCCAGCTGCAAAGGCTAAAGCGTAAGGCAACGCTGGTTGGGCCAATCCCACAGCTACAGCACCAAGAACACCAAAAATTGGTTCCACCATTCCACTAAGTTGCCCATACCTACAAAAAGAATTATCATTTTTATTGATACAATTGGTATTTATATATAGGTATGTTAGATCTAATATTCCGATGAGCAGTGAACAAAGCGATTAGGCGACGTGGTATCATTGCTTATTACCGAGAACTGGACATTTGCCAGGCTGCCGCACCGACATAAAATGTGTTTGGTCGTTTCTTCTCCAGATTGACAGAACCTACATATGGCTTCGTCCGTCAATTCTATTAACTTTAAATGCCTATGCAATTTACAATACCCTGTTAGTAGGCCCACTACAGCTTTGATTGTATATTCAGCATTATAAACTAGTCAAAACGCATTAGGCATCACTTTGATAAATTCCGTTTTAGTAAAGAAAATATGTTTATTTAAAGATATAAACTTAGGAATATATTCCATAGGAATTAAGTTTGAATATAGTGTATGCACCTTGGTGTTCATGACGAAAAAAATTTTCAAACTGCTGAAAATTGTATTTTTATTACGTTATAAATGACTACAATAGGGATCGAAAACAATGCTAACCAATTTGCATCTTAATTAACAACGGGAATATTTTGTTTCCTAATAATGTATGTATCCTCCGCGGTTTCTACGCACTTCTGCACACCGATTTGGAATAGACTGAATGAGGCTCCGAATAATCTCTTGAGGAAAAGCGTTTCACTCCTCTCGAAGATTTTCTCACAGAGTTTGAAGATGGGAGTTTGAAGTGGTGCTTTTTTGGAGACGACTTTGTAGTCTTCTCTTTAGTAGGTCCCAAAGGTGCTCAATAGGATTGAGATCAGGGCTATTAGCAGGCCAATTCATAATTGTGATATTGACCTCTTCAAAGTATCGAGTAACTACTCTTGCAGTATGAGGCCTGGCATGCTGAGCAGCAAATAGAATAAATAACATAGTTCAAGAATTTCATCTCTGTATCGTTCAGCATTAATTATGTCGTCTAGAAACATACAAGTCCGTAGCCCATATTTTTTTTTAAAAAGCAACAGATAGGTTTAAACCTTAACCCAAATAAGAAATTCAGAGTTTTTGTGTATAAGTTTCAAACCTATGACAAATCGTTTTTAGAATAAACAGAAAGTGGAAGAATGAAAAAATTTACATCTAGAGGGTTGACATTAGGGTTCAGAATCGGGAAATCCCGGTACCGAAAGTACCGGGAATTCCTGGTTTTTTTGAGACATCAAAGAACCGAGGCTCAAAATTATTAATTCCCTGTTCTTTCGGTACTTTCGGGAATACACTCGGTAATAATAATTAAAAGCATATTTTTTGTTAGGTGCGAAAGACTTCTGATACTTTCTAGCGATCGAAATCAAACTTCTAAAATAAGTAGTGATGCTATCTATCTCTTACTGTTTTTACTTCTGAAGATATTTTGAAGTTTCAATAATGCTTATTAGCAATTATTGAAGTTTAAATATGTTATTTCATTACTTAGTATAATATTGCTAAATGTATTAGTTATATTTTTTTGTGTTATATTTTTATAGACATTTGCATCTTTAATTGAAAATTTAAGTTTTTTTCTCCAAATTTAGTTAAGTTGGTTTCGAGGTTGGTTGATGTTGTTCGATCTAATTTTTAAGCTACTATGTGTTTTATTTTTTTTTCGCTTGTGTTCATGTTTACCTTCTCATGACTTAATAATTTGATATGATTTTCATTTAAAACTCAATTTTTTATCGGTTTTAATTTTGAGAACCATCCCTTGCTTGCTAATTGACGAACCTCACAATCATTGACGAAAATATTTTATTACGGTTCCGGAAACTCTAATTAGTACTACCAATAGGGTTCAGATCTTTTTGGCCATCACAGAACCGGGCCTCGAAATTTATTCCCGGTTCGTTCGGGACTCGGTAACAATAATTAAAAAAAATATTTTATGTTACGTGAGAAAGTTCTTTGATACTTTCTAGCCGTCGAAATCAAACTCTTCTAAATAAGTAATGATGCTATTTATTATTGTTCTTGCTTCTTTTCTCTTTTGAAGTTCGTATAATATTTATTAATCGATATCTGCATTTTTAATTGAATGTTTTAGGGCTTTTGTCTCAAATTCAATCAAGTTGGTTTATGTTGTTTGATGTGAGATTTAAGTTACCTATACTTTTTTCTTTACTTGTGTTCATGTTAATTTTCTCATGACTGATTACTTAATAATTTGATATTATTTTCATTAAAAATCTTAATTTTTTATCCATTTTACTTTGAAAACTCATCCCTTGCTTTCTGATTGATGAGCTGCACCACCATTGAACAAAAACTAGTCAGTGCTGAAAGTACCGAAATAAACGGGAAATCCCGATTCCTAAGAGGCGCGGTACCGAAATTTCCGGTTCCGGAAACACTAGCTGACATGATCAATGATGTATATGTGTACTATTAAGGAACCGCAACTGATTGCTAGTCTTTTAGAAAATATATATTTTATTTCTATTAGCAGTTGCATATCAGCCCATAAATTTTAATAAGGTCTTCAATAATTACCGCCAATTAAAGGAAATTCTTCTAATTACGTTCTAAATAACGCTTCGAGTCCTATTAGGATTTAATAAAGAGCAATTTGATTGCTTATTAAACCATCATTTTCTTTGAATATAGCGCAAGTGCTACAGATATGATTTCAATTTCTTTGCCACTTTTTAGTCCAATGGCCTGGCCAGGATAATTTATAGATAATTAGGTCATTTTATAATATTATTATAATACTGTACAAGGTTATCGTCGGCCATTAAGATATTAATATTATCTCAACTTTTTAAACTTTTGTTGTTGTGGAATTTGCTGCATCCGATGTGAGAGCCGTTTTGACGTTTTAACAAAATAATATAGATGGTGATAATGTCAAGTATGGGACGTGCTTTAATCGGTATCATAATATTTTCCTAGCGAACAGGAAGTAAACAAAAGAAAATTACGAAACGCTGAAGTGGTACCGTTGTTCGGTTTAATTGAATGAAATTATCGGGCGCTCCCTTATCAATCCATTCATAAATCAATGATAAGCGGTTGAAACGTTGTTGTATGGTGCTGTTTAGCCCAATAACTTCAGACTTTTTCCTTAAAAATTTGACAAATTTAAACATTTGAGACGGTTTGGGTCTGTTGTCTCACCAGTGTATGATGGAATTATAATCTTACCTAATATGCATTTATTAAGCATATTTTATGTAATTTGTAATTTTCGGTAGAAAAGTTTATCTACAAATTTATAAAACATGTAACTCTCTACAAGTGTGCTAATACTTTCTTCGAAAAATTATTTTACAGTATACTACTACTTACTGTACATAATTTAAAAATTATTTTTAAATTATGTACAGCATGTCACCGAATGGTCTTTACAAGAGAAAAAAAGTTTTAATTATTGACATTTTGAGAAAAAGGCATTCTTTATTAAATTTTTTGCATGTTGGTTAATCCTGGTTGATGGTTAATCCTGGTTATTGATTAATCCTGTTTATACTTTTCCTAATCAGAAAAATGAAAAACGATTGTAAAAATCAGAAGGCAATCAGAATGGTAATATAATTTCGATTTCTTTCTTAGATAAATGATGATTATTAATTTTGATAAACATCATATTTTTTTTTCTTTTTTTTTTGCTGTTAAAGTATCACCCTCTTTGTAACATTGTATAAAATAAATTTTGAGCTTCTTCTTTTTAGCATTTATAACAGCAGAAAATATGACGTTAATTAAAATAATATCAAAGAATGAACACGAAATTATATTACCATAGAAACGCGTTTTGATTTTTTGGAAAATATTCAACTATATTTTCATGTTTTTTTTTAATTTCTGTAAAACGGTTTGGAAATTTGGAAATATAAAAAGTGGATTTACTATTTGAGAACAAGCAAAATTTTGATGGAGTATGCTTTTTTTCTCAAAATGTGAATACATAATAAAAAAATTTCCTCTTGCGAAGAAAATCCGGGGACATACTTTAGATATAATAAAAACCGAATAATACAATAATTTTGGACTTCCATTGCCTTTACTTTCAAAGTTGCAGTTGATTAAAATAGGTTGAAATAAATACATGCATCTTCTCCTGTGATACAGGATTGAAACTCCAGACTAGTCAATAGCTTGCTGGCATGTTATACTACTTTTAATTTTGATGACTCGTCATATTGAGCAATCTTCTATTCTTTCAGCTGTATTTCAAATTGACGCTAAATTTAATAAAAACAATTCTTTTAGTATTCTTATATCTCTGGATTCTAGTATTTTTTTTAAGGAGAGCTTAAAATGTTTAGCTTTGTTTTAGAAAAATGTATATTGAATGCTAGTCCTGTGTCCATCAATCAGGATATCCAATCTGTGCTAGGACCTTTTTGATGTTGACCACTTGATTATAGCTTGCATACATATTTCAATAAATAAGGGCTTCTTTAAACTTCTTATGACAATGATGTGCATAGTAAAGGATTGAAGCTACAAACCATTTAATGGCTAATGTTTCCACAGGTTCTTGAATCGCCCTTTTCTAGTCTTTTAGTTTTATTTTTAATGTTTTTTTTTTATTTTACTAGTGTGTGCTTTAGTTCGTGGATCGATTTTGATAATTTTTAATCAAATTGTAGCTAAAATATTTTACTTTTTAGTCTCTTTTTATATTAAAAATTACAGTCCTCATTTATCAATTATTATAGGATAAAAAACAAAAGTTTTTTATTTTGACGAAAGTTTCAAGCAACCTGTGGAGTAGTTTAACAAAGTAAGACATTTAAAAAACCACTTTGTTTGCTTTTTGATCAGATATTTGCTTTTGAAGAAGACCGTAACGATTTCCAGCAAATTTAGCATTAAAAATATTCCTTTGCATCTGGCCTTATTAAACAGATCTATAAAATAGTGCTAAATGTTTTTATCCTGACACTGTCATTGAAAAGTAATATTATTACTATTTATTAGGTAGGTACGTTTATGGTAGAAATCAACTACTGGATTTAAAACAGTTTCTGATAGAGTAACTACCAAAAACAGTAAAAATATTAGAAAACTCATCGACTTTTCAATGACACTGTCAGTACAAAAAACATTAAACACTGTTTCATAGGTGTGTTGACAGACCTATGAAACAAGCTCACAAAAAAATTAAGTCTTTTTTTGATTTAAATGATTGTAATGACTTAAGTCATATGATTTTAAGTCATTTTTCGAAAGCTGACTTATATACGTTTTATTGAAGAATAACTTAAAACCACTTACTCCAAGCCCTAAGCTTATGCCATAGATATATTACATAGTGATCAAAATATATCTCCGCTTTTCAATAGACATGTATTCGATGACATCTATCTCTAATGGATACATATATGAAGTACTACAAAATCTTTAAAATTTATAAAAATAAACATATTTTTGTGTTTGTAGTTGTTCTGAAATTAAACGTTTTATTTTACGTGATTTTGGGCTAATTTGTATCTACAATAAATTAATAATAATATGATACTTGAGTAAGAAAATCGCCTAAATGGTAATTCAAGAAAATTAATATTAACATTTAAAAAAGGTACTTAATTTGAATTCTGGTTGTCTTGACTTGAGGGTAATTATATTGATTTAAGTCATTTTACTGACTTAACTTGCAGATCATCATGCTTTAAGTCAAAAATATTGACTTAAGTCATAAAAACGACTTAAATAACGTTATATTGATTTAAGTTAACAAAAATAACTTGACTTGAAATAAAATGATTTCAGTTAAAGACTTAAGACTTAAATCATTTGAAATTTATGTTGAATTTGACTTAAGACTTATATCATTCTGATTTTAGAAATGACTTAACACTCAAGTCTTTTTAAAATTGACTTGTTACAGCTCTGTGTGTTGATTACGATCTAAAATTGCTGTAAATAATTACTGCCTTCTTCAAAACCGTATATTTAAAATATAAATAAAACGAGAGGCACCATGATGACAGAGTGGGTTTTAAATTCATTCGCCAAAATTATATTATTTTATTATTAAATAAATAATTGCTCAGAGCCGCATGTGCGTGGAATACGATCTAAACTGATTGGTCTAAAGTTGCTCGCGGAGAACAAACGATTAAAATTTCAAAAAGAGGAAAAATAGTTGATTCGTTAGTAATATATTGAAAACGATTTGGTGTAAACACACGACGGCGGCCATTTAAACGAGGCATTGACCTAGGAATTTCAGGTCATATACCATTCGAACTTCGTTGGAACTTATCAAACATGCTCGGTGTGATAACGCACGTGCTGTTGTTTTTATCGAATATGTATGTATGTATATACGTGCGTTTACCGTAAGTTTTTTAGAACTGGGAATAATAGTTCGGTATGGACTTCCGATTTACCGTTGCTTCATTTCTTTTTTAGAAATAATAAATTTATTTAAACTGGAATGCAACGTGTGATATATCGTTGCAGGTCTGGATGTAAAGCGATTAATAGTATCCAGTAGCTGGAACCAGTTACAACGGTATGCCATCAATGGCATTGTCGTGGCACCAGTGATTGACAGAGAAAAGTGTTTACATGGTGCCACTACCTAATAGTGATACTGGTCTCAGCTACTGGATACGTGTAAATTAGCCCTTGTATCCAGGCTTGTTTGGTTCAAACAGTCACTCTTATTATGGATAACTACAGCTATTTAAAAAATTATTTTGATTATGTTAACTGTTCCTGATGCCTGTTGATATTTTACCCCCTTAGCTAGAAGTTTAGACTTAGCATTCACATTGTATTAAAAAACAGTTACATTGGTTTATAAACTGGGCTTCTTAAAGTGAATGCGCAAAATGTTTTTTTTACTGAAACCCATTACACATTTAATTGATAAAGTTTCTACATGGAGTCAAATTTTTTGGTCAATTTTGGCTTTATTGCCTGCTTTATTTTTTTGTCCTTTGTTTTCTTTGGCTGAAATTGGCGGATCGACCCTGAATTTAATAAAAACAGTTCTTCTATATAGTCTTCTTAAATTTTGTATTTTTTTTTATTGAAAGCCTTTATGAACGAGTCGCTAAAGTGTTGATGTTTTAGCTAGCTGACTAGACGACATCCTGTGCCTGCTTTCGACTGTTTTAATCCATCAGAGTATCCATTCTGTCTTAGAACTTTCTTGATGTTGGCCGTTTCAGTATCTTCTCTACATTTTTAAATAAAGTGCACAAGAACCTTCTTTAAATTTCTTTTTATGCCAATAATATTCGTAGTACAAGATTGAAACTTCAGATCATTTAGTGGCCTATATTCTAGATTTATTTTTAAACTGGATTTCCTAATGGATGAGATTAGATTTTTGAGGTGTCTATCGGCTTGTTCCTCTGCGAATTTTTGAGATCTATTGTGTTCCCTTTCTGATTTTTAGGTTATAGCAACCTACCGTGTACTTGTAAAACACTGATGACACACATCACAAGTACATGCGAGAGGTAGCCGGCGCTCTATATAGAGTATGGCACTGTAAGAAGAAGAACCTACAACTATTAAAAATAATGTAGAGTCAAGTATTACTGAGGGTAGAACCAATTGATAGAGCCGTTTATTCTTCAGAACCGGGATAGACCCAATAAGTAAGCCAGTCATCATTCCTGTATATAATAATATAATACCATTTCTGTATTTTTTAAACATTCTTATTCTATGAATAATCTATGATTCTGAGACTAAAGTTAGAGGGTTTATTATAATTAAAATACTTACCATAAACTTCTCCAAATTGAAAATCCAGCAGCATGGAGTGGTAAACTAACTGCCAAACCTTCTGGGAAATTTTGAATGCCTATACCGATTGCTAGGTTTCTGTAAACAAACAAAAAATTATATTAATCTATGAATATTTAAATAAGACAGTATGAAAAGGATCTTTGTAATGACAATACATAATTATTAAAGATATAATATTTATATACGATTTTCGTTAAGAGGTTTTTTAATAAACCTTCCTTCCTAAAAATACGGCTATAATACTGACACTTTTTGTTTTCAGTCAGTTCAAATCAAGTATTGGCCACCGTAAAAAAACGTGCTTGCATTATTACACCGCACAGAGTGGTTGCTTCAGAAAATACAGTGCTCTATTTTTCGAGCCGAAAATTTTAAAAGAACACATACCGATTTGCAAATACATACCCTCTTTTTTGCGGCGTAGCTCGCTGTTAATCAAATTGAGGCGCTCTTTTGCGGTACCACTTTGTAGAAAACCGAGGGTTGTAGAATGTAGATGAATATCAGAAAGAGGGGTAGGGGGGGGGGGGTTAATCACTGCGACCTTAAAGATCTATTCTGTCCTCCTTTCTTGAGTTATATCTCATCATACAACCTATAACTCATCATACATGGGGATCTTCCTGTTTTAGAGGGGACCATCGTCCTCTGACAACAGATGCTCATCTTCGGAGGAATGGGCATCTACCTCTTACGAGTGTTTACTCCCCTCCACGGTTGGGATTTAGCCCTCCGTGACCTTCACAGTCGAGGAGCTCATCTCCGACTGAGGTACCCGTGAGGTGGAAGCCAGAGGATCTGTCTCCATTTTTTCCACCTCCTTAACTTGGTTTCTCCTTAGACCCGATACCGGTGTTGTCCCGAATCTATAATAGAGGATATATCCCTCTTTCTCTATTACCTCCTTGGATTTGAGGTCAATTACACCGCAAGGTTTAGTCGATCCACTTCTACAGAGCCCCGCATGTAGAAGTAAGGGAGACGAGAATACAATCGGTAGCCCCCTGGTATCCCAAGGTTGAGACCAGTAGAGGATAGTTTTCTATCTAGCCACGCATTCTTTTGACTTGGTCCCGCCATCATAGGATTGAGGTTTTTGGTGAGGTTGTCTCCTCTTGGTTCGGGCGATTAAGCTAAGACCTCCTATGCCAGTGATATAGGACCACAGAGACTAGAGGGTGCCTGGTATGATGGACAGGGTAGTACCATCCGGAATCGTTATACGTCTGCAATTCCCTGGCCACTATAGCCAGGGACAACACAATGAGATGCTCTTAGACCCAGCCACAGTGCAAAGTGCCAGAGGGGATTTCCACTAGGCTCCTGACTAGGAGCTTCCCCACCAACGACAAGGTCTCACATATACTTGAGGAAGAAAAAAAAACCGAGGGTAAAGTGGTAACCTAGCTATTTCTGTTTTGAACGGTAATTTTTTTGAAGATAAATTCTTTAACAATAAAAAGCTTCAAAACTAAATTTTACAAAATTATTTTAATTTATTCTGATTATTTTTATAAAACAATTGCAAAAAATGTTAGGAAATCCTTTGGCAACATTTAACTAAGATTCGGTATAGTTAAAAGAAGAAAGATCCCCTTCAACATCCTCTCGGAAGTTGTTATCTTTTAAGCTAATGGCATAAATCTTGATGTACCTTAAATAGGCTCGATTCAAATAGGGTTATCAAAAAGGAAGAGCCACTTCTTCCAATATTTAAACTATTAGCAACCGCTCGAGTCTGACCAAAATTGTTAATTTTCAACGAAGCAAAGTCCAGTATTTTTATTAAGGAAAATGTTTCACTCTAGACGATTACGATCTAAGGATACATTTTGTAAAAAAAAGTATACAGGATGTTTCAAATTTCACCGTGTCTTAAATTCGGGGTGGCTGAAATTGGAGCACATTCCTGTGGACCGATTTAGATGATTGTTTAAGCAATTTGTAGCTGAACTATTTGACTTTTTAGTATATCTTTCTAAATTGAAAATGAAAGTTCCCATCTGTCAATTATCCGAGGGAAAACAAAATGTTGATATCTTGATAAAAGTTTGGAAGACCCTGTGGAATACATTAACAAAACAAGGAATGTAAAAATTACCTTATCATCTAGGTGTATCTTTTCTCGATAGTTTGTTTTTTGATTCATCTCAATAGCTGTATTTTTTTTAGATATTCGCTTTTGAAGACGACACCAACATTTTTTCGAATATTTTACATTAAAACCATGCCTTTGTTTTTGGTCCTAGTCAACAGGTCTGTAAAATAGTGTTTATGATTTATCTAATAGCACTGTCTTTTAAAAATCATATTATTTTTGTTTGTTATGCAGTTAACCATAGCAGATATGGTTTCGGCAAGTCCAAAAGTTGATCTCTACCATGACCAATAATTAAAGCAGCAATCAATAGCCGATACTTCAGTACTTAAAACTATCTCTACTAGAGTAATCGTCAAAAAACATAAAATGACTTTTTAATGACAGTGACATTACAAAAACAGTAAACACTATTTTATAAGTGTGTTGATGAGGATCCAAAATCAATGCAAAAATGGCTGTTGATCGTTATTGCCTTATTTAAAGGCGAATATCTGCAATAAAAATAAAGATATTGAGATGAATCAAAAAACCAGCTATTTAGAAAAGATGTACCTATATGATAAAATGATTTTTAAATTCCTTACATTGCTAACATATTCCACAGGGTATTTCAAACTTTCACCAAAATATCCTAATTTTGTTTTCCCTCGTATAATTGACAGAAGGAAACTTCATATTTAATTTAGAAAGAAATACTAAAAAGCCAATAATTCAGATACAAACTGCTTAAAAATCTTTAAAATCGGCCGACTAGGACTGAATTTTTTATTTAGCTTTTTAAAAGGCCGAATTTTTAAATCTCCCAAATGCAATGATGTGTAGCACTTACCCAAAAACTAGCGCTTGTATTTTACACACACGTATCGAATGTGACCAGTAACCAGTATTATATCTCTCCCCAACATATTGCCACTTAAGGGATAGTTCTTAATAACACATTTCTCGAGAAAGTGTGCTAAAGAAAGTTTCTTTGAAAATGTTTTTTGTATTTTTTTCTAACTGTCAAGATAAATTCCTAAAGAAATAAAAACGAAAACTGGAAATTTCAGGTTTTCCGCCATATTTTCGAAAAGTACAAAGTTAAGTTGAATTACTAAACGAATTATCATTGAGCTCACTAACATGCAACTTTGATCCAATTTAAGCCACCTTGTGTCTCTTAACGATTCCCAGATTCCAATGGTGAGAGCCGAATTTGCAACACCCCGTATAATAGAGTAAAACAGTACTTTTTAGTTGGTATGTTAAAATAAAGCTACTGACATAGTATTTCTATTGTCTACGACAAATTTACGTTGATTAATTGATTTTTAATATAGTAAGTAGGAAGATACTATTTGAGGTCTATTAGTGTATAATTTTCTGGCTAGTTAACTTGGTAAATAATATATACCAAAAATTCTTGTTGGCGATAGAAAGTCTACGAGGTTCAACAATGGAAATAAATAAAAAACTTTACTACAGATGTCCGACCAATTATTGGTTGGGCATTATACATTTATATATTTTAGATTCGATTAAAAGAGCCCCTTTTATTTTTCGCTTTGAGGCTATCGGATCATTCATTATAATTTTTGTATCGTTAAAGTTTAAAGTTGTCCAACGAGAGGATACGTGAGAGCAACAGTTATTTATTTTAATCAGTCATTTTAATTCGTGGAAAATTTGTAATTTTTTTAAAAATTGTAGATTTTCGAAAATATTCATTTTTAAATACTCTTTATGTTCTATAATTAGATTAATTCGAATTTACTATATAAATATTTTCATTTTCATGTTATCTATATTCAGTGTGGAATACCCCAGTATATCCCATTACGATCGTATTAGATCTATTCTATTTATACACTTTTAAAGAAAACTACTTATGGTATATAATTTTTAAGATCAAACAAAGGCATGAAAATACAATAGGACTGACAAAAAAACGGCGGCGGCGCGGCGTCGAAAGTGGCTTGGAAATGAAGATCGCTGAAATATAATATGTAAAATTATTTGGGGAATGTCCTCGATCGTCATTTCCTATTCAAGACCACTGCAAGCATTTTTTTTTCGATCATACGATATACTTTCCACCTCATTTTCCAATATACAATAACTAGCTAATCCAACTTCGTATCGCCTAACGTGAAGTAAGATTTTTTTGCGATAATTAATTTTTATTTTTCACAGAATGATCTGGAACGCTTGAAACCAATAGATTTGGCAGTTGTCATTTGTTCCCTATATTTTTAATTGTGTAAATTAAAGTTTTCAATACATTTTTGTTTGTCCGAATATTTATTTGTTATAGGGCTCGTACGTTCCTTATCATCGGTGCCATACCGTCAGTGAAAAGTATTAACATGCTAACTCCATTTTTGACTTTAATTAAATAATACGTTTAATACACAATTTTTACTTTAAATCTTTAACGAAATAATGAGTTTTATTGTTTCCCAACAAATATTATTGTTATTACTTTATATCATATTAATGCATCTTTTCTCTCCTCTAAAGTGAGGAATAATTGAGTTAGAAGTTTATCACATTTCACCGACGATATATCCTTCTATATATAGAGGGCGTACATTGATGTTTACTAAACGTTTTAAAGAGGGTAGAGAATATTCATTTTAAATACAAACTTCTTTCACTATCAGTTCATATTTCTTTACTTACTTACTCGAATATATACACTGGATACATAATCTTTTTCAATTATTTTACTTTAGTATATTTATTTATTCTGCTATTCGGGACAGAGACGAATCCAAAAAATCAGAGATTACTTCTTCTTGAGTTATATGGTGTAACTAACTGAACTGTGTTTTATATTTTTATATTATTAGTTAGAGTTGGGGATTGGAACCTTTAGTGTTACAACAGCAAACATACACATATAAGACTAATTCACCGCAATACACCAAACACTTTACTTTTAAACAATGGACGCATGTTTCGCTAACTACGTGGCTACTACTATGTTACTAAA